TATGTTTCAACACATATATTCAGCATATCAAAGCTGAAAAGTACCGTCAGTTCGGTTTCTCCCTCCAACTTCTTAATCCAATCCACTGGTTTCAGTTTGCCGATGATGCTGCGGTTATTACTGGTCAAGAGTCGGAAAATCAACATCTCCTTAATCGATTCTCTATCTGGTGTCAATGGTCCAACATGGTTGTTAGAGTTGATAAATGTAGCACATTTGGCATCAAAAAAGTTTTATCAAAATCTGCCCAGTATCTGCCGAAGCTTTTGATCAATAAGGATCTCATACCAACGATTAAGACTGGAGAATCATTTGAGTATTTGGGACGACATTTCGACTTTAACATGACTAATGAAAAACATAAATCTGAAGTGATTTCCCTCATTGATGAACTAATGTCCGAAATAGATCTTAAACCTCTTCACCCAAAAAACAAAATTTTACTTTACAGTCGTTATGTTTTGTCAAAGCTATCCTGGCATTTTACTGTTGCTACGATATCTAAAACTTGGTTAGTCGAAAATATCGATTCTTCGGTGAACAAGTACATCCAAAAATGGCTGGAAGTACCTATATCTGGAACACTAAGTAACGTTTTTCTAACCCGTAATAAGTTTGGTCTAAATATCCTCCCTGCATCAGTCAAATTCATTCAGTGTCAAACAGTTCTACGCAATGCCCTGAAAACATCTCCAAACGATTCGATAAACGAACTGTGGAAGTCAACTAATAATCATACTAACATTCAATACGATAGCTACAACTCAACTAAAGAAGTTTTAAAAACTTTCCATTCTCAACAAGAAAATAAACTTAGGAACCGTTTGAAATGTCAAGGTTCCTTTTTCGAAAATGTTTCTAAATTCTCGCTATCACAACTTAACGCAATCTGGTCGGTATCGCAATCAAAGCTACCAAAGAACATTTTCAACTTTACAATTCGCTATATAAATAATACCCTTCCTACCCGAAAGAACCTCAGTATAGATGGGGAATTTCATCAAGTTCTGACTGCTCGTTCTGCTTACACCCTGAATCACTTCTACACGTTGTTGCCGGTTGTCAACATTACCTGGAACGATTTACTTGGAGACACGATTGCATACTAAACTTTCTTGCTAAAACTTTTCAAAGTTTAAACGAATGCAAATTACATGTTGATCTTCCTGGATTTCAAAGCCCCTCGATTATTACGGGAGATGAATATCGTCCTGATTTACTTGTCTCCACTTCAGACAAACATCTCTACGTCGTTGAACTTACCGTAGGCTTTGAATCAAACCTCACAAACAATGTTAACCGCAAGAAAGCTAAATATAAAAACCTAATTAGAGAACTGGATCAAAACTTTACATGTGTCAAATTTATAAATCTTTCTGTCAGTTCGCTAGGAGTGTTTGACAAAGAATGTCATACATTCGTAAAAATGCTAAATGAGTTAGGACTGGATAATCAACACCAACAATATTGTATCAGAAAAATTATATCTATTGCCATCCGATCAACGTACTGCATATTTTGCTGTAGAAATAAAGAATGGACAAATCCCGAACTAATGAACATTTAAAGTAACTATTTCTGTAAATAAGTAGTAATTTTTGTATATAAAATTATAACCATGCACGTATAAGTGATTCAAGTAGTCAATTGTAGGTTACCTCAAGAAGTGAGATTTACAATTGTATATATCTATAAATGTTCTATTAATAAAGTTTTCATTATTATTATTATTTTTGACTATCATCAACATCCGATTGCTCTTTCTGCTCCTCACCTGAAACGCTGCTTCAGGTGATTGCTGGATGTAAGACATATTTCGACGAAGGCCGGTTTACATGGCGACACGATTCTGTTTTAAATTTCCTCGCATCCACTCTTACTGCTGTGAAAAATTCCACACTTTACGCGGACATTCCTGGCTATATGAATCCATCTGTTATCACCGGAGATAGTTTACGACCTGACCTTCTGCCGGTGACTGAAAACAGATGTCTATACATCCTCGAGCTTACAGACGGTTATGAATCCAATCTGTAAGTTAACGCCAATCGTAAGCGTCAAAAGTAGTACCTTGATCTAATCAATGAGCAGGAAGCAGATTATGATAAAGTCAAGGCGTCAATTTATCATTGAGTACACTCGGAGTTTTCCGCCGATCATCTGAAAATTTCGATGGCATGCTAAGTAGCCTTAAATGTGATGCCAAGTATAGTAAATACATAAAAAAGAAAATCGTTAACATGTGCATACGAACATCATATTATATATTTTGTAAACGAAACAAGGTGTAGGATCGAGGGGCACTTCACTCCAAAAAAGCGTACGGGATTTTCGGATTTTTAAAAATCCGCGGATTTTTTAGCGGATTTAGCGGATTTCCCCCGGATTTTTTAGCGGATTTTTGAAGAGAAAATCTGTTGGATTTTCCGGATTTATTCGGATTTTTTCTGGATTTTTGAAAATCTGTTGGATTTTCCGGATTTGTTTGGATTTTCCGGATTTGTTCGGATTTTTTCTGGATTTTTTTTTAATTATAGAGTTATAGAGCTAGGTAACGTTTTGAACAAATAATCTTAAGTTGTACGACGTCTACAACGTCAACGTTATGACAGGACGTCAGGGTCGAGCGGAGGACTGGGACTAGGACCACAGCCTTCAGAAACTAACGAAGGCTGGGCATGCAGTCATTTTGTTTAAAATTCAAACAAGTTCATTATTCTTTCAAAAACAGTAAAAGACAATGATGAATATAAACTTTTTATATAGACAATGGTTTTGTAATTATATTTTACAACATAACGTCATTGTAACAAGAACACATATTTAGTAGTAATAGGCTAAAAGCGTATACTCGAGCGTATAAATGGAAATTTAGAGTGGACAGCGATCACGGTAAGCGTTTAGCTTTCGCTGTCCGCCATTTTGAACGTGGCAAAGAACCTTTACGAGTAAATTACGCCAAGTACTTCATATATTTTTTTGTGGATTTGCGGATTTTTTAAGGATTTTGAAGGATTTCTGTGGATTTTTGAAGGATTTCTGTGGTTTTTAAAGGATTTTGATGGATTCAACGGATTTTGAGGATTTCATGGATTTTTTCTGGATTTTTTCCGGATTTTTTGACGAAGTGTACGGGATTTTTGGAGTGAAATGCCCCTCGTGTAGGATAACCCAAAATTAAGTACTATTTAAAGCACGCGTAGGAGTGTTTTATCACATATAAAACACGACGCGTAGCGGAGTGTTTTATATGTGATAAAACACGACCACAAGTTTTGATTGTACAGCACACAATTGTATTCAAAAAACCATTATTTCATCATCTTGCAAAGTATGATCACGACACTCGGCCACATAACTGCCACAATATCGCGAATTACGAAAAATAAAACTCGTTAAAAATCCCCGTGGCCAATTTGCAGATTCTTTGATATTTTTTTGAAAATTTCTTCGGTAAAACTTTTTAATTTTTTGCACACAGTAATCTTATCTATAATTCCTTCAAATGATAGCATTTAAAAAAAATCCTACGAGAATTTTTTTTAATCCTAAAAAAGGCCTGTTTTTGGAATAAAAAAAATTCGGCTCGTACGATTTTCTTAAAACTTGCACATTTTACGCACTTCAAGATTACAGGAAAGTGTGTGAAGTTTTAAAAATTTTTACCGAATTAGGAAACACGAGAAAAATACATTTATTTTTATCTATGTGACGTCACAAAAATCAGGAATTCAATTTCCTCGCGCGACCAGCCGACAATCCTACGAAGGCCCGCGCGTCTATATACGATGTTTTGGCGCAATAAATATATTTGTTGGAATCGCAATTTTAAAAACCCGCCCGCAACGTCGACCACGCGTGTTGCCTGTAGCACTACTAATCTCGCGCGTGGACAAAATTTCAGCGACACAAACCTAAAACTGCAGGGAATCAATAAATAAAGTTTCCATTATTATTATTATATCATTTGAAAATATTTGAAAACAGTGACCCCTCAGGGCTCATAGCCTATATTAAAGGGACCGTTTGTTAGATATATTACAGTAATTATAGTTATATATTTAGTTACATATTAAAAGCTAACAATATACACAAAATATACTCTAGTCTAACAATTAAAAATTTGTCAAGGCTAAATAGCTTATGCCTCTTCCTTTGGCTATACATGATATATTATATACAGGCAGTCCCAAAGCGACGCAGCAGAGTTAAAGCTCTTTTTCATAATGTTTGTTTCCTGTTGACCAAGTACATAATTCGTATTTTAAAGTTGTTTGTACGTTTGCATGGCGATAAAACATATAATAGTTTCGTTTGTGGAAACACCACGTAAATTTATTACTGCATAGCTTTCGATCCGTAAGCCCGGATCTTCATCAGTGCTAACAATATGTAATGTTATTGTTATTATTATTATTATTATTATTATTATATATTATTAAAGACTTGAATTCGGAAATTGTATTCATGAATAACGTTATCTGGTCTTACTTTAAAGATACATGTGGTTTGGTAAAGTCGGCTAATAAATTTGAACACTATAGAAGTATGTCAAAATCAAAGTTAAAAAAATGCTTAAAAGATTTAAAATCAAACGGAGGCAGCTTGGAGGAAATAAAATTTGTCAGTAAGTTATTGCGAAAAAGAATGCAGTCAAGCGTTAATGACCAGCGGGATTATGAAAATGAATTAAATGAGAACTTTTGGAAGTTTTGCAAAAATGAATTTGAAAACACTGAAGAGCTAGAACCAAACTTGAGCGAACAGTCGTGTTTCGACTATTTTAAGAACTTATTTAAGGAGAAAAGTAAAAGTCGTTTGTTTAATTGGCCGTCCTGGTTGAGTTCATTTCTATCCGCAAGTAAAGATTTCGACTTAGAATGTCCTACGTATCGTGAGATCTCTAAAATAATCAGAAAAATGAAAAGTCGTGGCTCTGCGTGTCCTTTCGACCAAATAAGCATTATTTCGTTTCAACGTTGTCCAATTTTAAGAACGCATTTATGGATAATTATCTGTAAATGCTGGAACGAAGAAAATATTCCATCTGTCTGGAAGCACGCGGCGGCGATGCAAATTTTTTTTCCGTAGACAGTCGGACTCCTCATTGATAGTCGGACGCATCATTGACCCGCGCCCTTAAACAAAATATTCAGCGGATACTCTTCTTATTAGATGCGCCTTCCCTGTGTGTCCTGCGCACGCAGTTGGTGATTTCAAAATCAGTATTGCTTGGTTGAAATGTCAAAATCTGAACACGACACATTGTGGCTTCATATCTTGTGTGATGAAGACATCTGACATATTTTATTAAGTTATATTCCCCATTCCCACTTGCTTTTCTTTGCTTTTGTAACTGTTTTTTGTAACTCTTTTCGGAGCGATTGCAGAATACCCGTCCACTTTTTAAGCCATGCCTTTCAAACATCATGGATGCGATGTATTAATACATCTATATTTATTCACAATAGATTAATAATTAGATTGATAGATTAAAATCCCATGGTGGTAAAGGTAGCTAAGAGCACAGTTTATAGACTCTTAGTCTATAAACTGTGCTAAGAGGCATACAGCGACTTAGCATTAATAGCTTAAATTATCATGATAATGTTAAAGCTAACTTTATATTCTAGTGGATACGCGGATACGCAGTCAAATTTGAGAACGAGGCATGCAGTTAGATTAACATTAGATCAAATTTTCATGCGACAGGTACGTAGCTCTATATTTTAGTGGATACGCAGTCAAGTAGTTATTTTGAGATTAAGGCGACAGTTAGTTAGCATTAATAGATTCAGTTCTCATACTATAGAAAACTTAAATGTGGTGTAATATGTAAATATGTTCCTCACAACCGGACATTGGTGTTTGACAGATTATGATTAATTAGCGTGGCTAGGAGAAAAAGTTTTATATTATAAAGCATACTAAGCATAATATTAAACATTAAAAGTCTTGCATGATATTTCCTTTATAGAATTATAGTATCAATTCGTAATATTGTCTTAGTAATAGTTTGTGTATATTAGAACGATGCCGATAAGATCTGGTATATATATGTATCCAGTGAAATAGTGGCCGGGCTAAATAATATGATATTACTAGTGGAAGGGTATTCTGCAATACTTCTATTTGTGGAAAGTGGACTTGATGGTCGCTTTGAATCTTTGCATCGAAACCAGAAAAACAAGTTTGTAGATTTACTATGGCATCGCGAAGCAAATCGTTCATCTTTCTACACGTGGTCACAGAATAGGAAGTTATACCAGAAGCGTAACTCTAGTCGTTTCCCTTATTGTTTGACGTCCACGAAAATTTTAACTCGCTCACGTCAGGCCACGCCATCCTGGCTAGTACAGCCGGCAGTTTTTATCAGGATTTGGTAGGTACAAAGTGCCGGTTGTACTAGCCAGGATGGCGTGATTGATGACGAATCGCTTGTAAAAACGCGGACAAATACTTGCTTGAGTTACGCTTCTGCTATACCTTCCTATTCTGTGACGTGGTTGAAGAAGAACAACGTGGAGTGACGGATATATGGTGCACCAGTGGGTTATGAAGGGATCCATCGATAACGCGCAAATGCCCTGGACGCTAGTCAATGATGCGTCCGACTATCAATGAGGAGTCCGACTGTCTACGGAAAAAAAAATTGCATCGCCGGTACTTGATTGAATGCCCGTAAGGCGTAATGCATAACATCAATTTATATATTGCGTATATTCTCAAAGATTTACTTAATATTCACCTAATTCACGTTTGAAATGTTTATATATTTGAAAACAACACTGTATCGCCCCTTCCTAGCTTTGTATAATGAATATACCATCTAAATAATATCGGTACTTGATTGAATGGGTCTTGTCTAAAAGGATCTTGTCTAAAATTACACACGAGTGACCACGAATGACCACGAGTGACCCGAATGACCACGAGTAATTTCTGTGTTTAAAAATCATGAAATAATAATAAAAATAGGTACGCACTGCGTACATGTGGCTAGCCTTATATTCACTATTCAGCCTGTCGAATACAGCTGGAGTTCACATTGTCTGCTTGTCATCATTCATCACAAACATTCCTTGTGATACAAAGTTAATAATTACAATAGAAGAATGTTCAAAATAAAACAGATGCAGTATCTTTCTTACAATGCCAAAAAATGGCTACAATCACTCGATTTAAAAGCACTGGTTGGTAGCAATGGTGCAGCCAACAATATTATTGAGTCACAATTTAATTAATGATGTCACTTTTATTGTTTTTCAAAATTTCACTAATATGTAATTCACTAAGATTTCATTACATGGGTTTCTTGTTACAAATATATTCTGGTGTCTGGTTTACAAGTTACTAGCTTTTCTTGAATTGTTGGCATCACAGATTTCATAAAACCTTTAACCCATTAAGCTGCAGAGCTTCCCCACTGACGAGTAAATTGTCTGGCATTAGACAAGTAAAAATAAGTAGGGCGCAATGGGGCGCATTGCGGCTCAATGGGTTAAATTCAAAGTTCTTCATTAATATAATATTTAATGCTAGATTTCTAAACAGTTTTTATTTATTGTGATTTGTAAGATCTAAAAGCATCGGAATTTATAATGAACTCATCCAATCAATTATGTCATCACCACTAAAACTTTTGTCTGATAGTTGTATTGCCCTCATGATACTTGCATATCATGATCTTCCTATATTATCCAATATTATCACCAGTCACCATATTATCAGCAAATTGTCCAGAATATGTGTTCACTTAGTTGTTTGAAGTACTGTAGATGTCATGCATCACTGTGACGTTGAATTGGGCTTTTATCTGCAAATGGTTTAAAATTAAGAACCAAATACAGTGTAATTACTGGCATAACACAAAAATGAAATATTGTACATGTGCAGGTATAAATTTAAACAACATTTAACTCTAGCTATAAAAGTATGAACATGCTACTCAATTGACATTGCTGTTATTATTAAATGCTGAAAAGAAAGGTTGAAACTTGTCAATATGACCTCAGCACATTATGGCTGTGGGTTTGCTTTTTCATATACCCTCACAACTGCTAGGGTCAGTGTTGTATAGTGATTGCACTGATCTTCATGAACGTAGCAAAGCATCTGTCATTGTGTGGGGGGGGGGGTGCCTGAGAAATTCACCTGAAATCTGAACTTCAATGTTAAAAATCTACCTGAAGTGTAATAACTCCACTGTCATACTAAGTTTCCTAAGAAAAGGGGGTGTGGGTCGTGGGGGTCCTCCCCCAGAAAATGTTTACATTTTTGAAGCTCCAGAACTGCATTTCTGGTGTTTTCTAAAGCACATTTACAAACGAATTGGATCTAAATTGACTGTGTCAAAATGGTTATCATTTCACAAAAATACCAACTTTATTATGCAAATTTTACCTGAAAATGTCAAGATTTATACTTGAATTTTAACTGAGTTTCACAGTTGTGGGGTTTACACCCCCACACTCGGGCGGGCATGTCCCTATGTCCCTGCTGATCTTAGAGCAGATATTATTTACATCTGGACCGAATATCCAAAAATAAACTGCACCTACAGTTGCATTTTTCGCAGCTGTTCCTGGTTAGGTCTAATGAATGTAAATACATTTTCACTCAATTATTTCCATCTAGAAGATTAAGATTCATTTGTATGTAAACACTCTGAGCTTTCATTGCACTGTGTGTGAAATTGTGGTGGGAGACAATCCTTGAATCGGCAATAGATCTCAATAATAGCACCCGTTAATTTGCAGTCAGTGCGATGCCAGTGACCAATAAAGACTATAGTAATATAAAATATATCTGCAGCAAGTGGATAGGGCAGTTGTAGTATAATATAACAGCAATGGGCTTGCTTCTTAATTTACCCGCATAATGATATATTAAAATTCAAGATCTGTGCAAGCACATTTGATTATAAACAGTATTATAAACTCACTATAAAGCTTTATATGAAGCGTGATCAAAATCTCTTTGACCAGAAGCAGAGTCCAGACTAGAGCAGACATGAATTGAATAGCAATGACATGACAGTATTGACAGATTTATAAATTATAAACATAAATATCGATTGAAATAACAAAAATGAACTTACCGTTTGCTGTGAAAAATTCCTTTGAGTATTTCTACCAGCGTTACCAACTGTAATTCTGCTAAGTGAGGCATCTCCACTTCCAGTTCTTCCAGTATTAAAGTTGTTAAATACCTTTTCTGAATTCTGATGCCTTGAACATAATTGAACGACAGTTTCCGAAGTAAGTCGACAATCTCCGTCACCACTTCACATAGTCTTACAATTTTAGCGTTACATTGTGGCTAGCCCGCGAACGGGCTAGCCACAAAAACTATTTTAAGGTGGCTCCCTAAGGTTTTTGCATTATACTGCACTATAGTATTCAGAAAATGCCTGTTTCTTCACTTTACAGGATAAGGCTCAAAATTTTTCTTTTTTCGACCATTTTAAAAATCCCTTCGGGAAATTTTTTTGAGTTTTTCGACTATTGTACACGTCTACAGGAACGTAGCAAAGCATCTGAAGTTAGGGGGGGGGGGGGTTCGGAGGATTTTACCTGAAATTTTAATTTTTCATAAATATTTACCTAAAGTGTAATAATTATAATAAAGCTTTTTGTGATTGACTTGCACTGTCATAGTAAGTTTCGGGAGAAAAGGGGGGTTTGGGGGTCCTTCCCCAGAAAATTGTTCCATTTCTGAAGCTCTAGGGCTGCAATTCTGGCGTTTTCTAAAGCAAATTTGCTAACAAATTGGATGTAAATTGACTGTATATTTTATAAAAATGGTTATCATTTCACACAATTAATTACTTTATTACGCAAATTT